CCATGCGTCGGATGATACCCCCTTCTTTTGATGACGATCACGGTAAACATAGGAAGGATTATGATTTGAGGGTATGCACCTGGAATATCCGAACCCTTACTCGGGCCCGGCTGGTTGATGTCCCATAAAATAAGGGCTGACGTCACCCCCATTCATAAAATGCGATGGGCGGGGCGACGAAGGTAAGCATGGTACCTTGCGACGTCTACTACAGTTGCCACGTAAAGGAGCGCAAGTCGGTGTTGGATTTGTGATGGGACGAACGTCTATCCACAATCCGCATCAAAGCGAGAATCTTCAACATCTCGCTCATATGTGCCAATGCCGCGATGGAAGAGAAGGACGAGGCATCCAAGGATCAGTCAACTCAGAGCGTACATATTAGCGCTGCTCCCGACACGTATAAAAATCGTGCTTGCCGATTTAAATGCCAAGGTGGGCAACGAAGGGATCTTTGGCCAGTGTCGGAAAATTCAGCCTCCACATAGAAACAGCGGGCTGAGGCTGACCGACTTCGCTGGGGCCCGAAACTTGGCAGTATGTAGTACTGGGTTCTAGCATAAAAGTATCCCTCAATCTACATGGCTGTCCCCAGATTGAAAAACGGGAATCCAAATCGAGCATGTTGTGAAAGGCGGAAGGCATGCTTCCAGTGGTTTAGATGTACATACGTACACTCCGAGGGCCAAACATCGACTCGCACCACTATATTGGTGCAGCCAATATACAACCCCACATCGGTGCAGCAAAAAAGGGCCCCAATAGTGCAAGGAAAGTTCAACGTCGAAAAGCTGCAATCAAAACAGACGGTCAATGGATTCGCCGCTCGACTCTCACACCTGCTGTGAGAGAGCACTTTTCAGCAAACCGAAATACGCGATCAGTGGACCACATTTCCCGCTCATTACTGGTACGAAGAGGAGTGACAAGCATAGTGTTGAGCGACTTACGGAAGGTTTCAAGACTCCTGTAGGAACAAACATGGCGACCTAGTACCAGTCCAGAACGTCCAGAACGTACTCAAATTATGGAGGGAACACTTTTCGAACCTTTTGAATGGCAGAAGCACTGAAAGAAGTGGAGAAGACGAACCCGAGTCCCCAGTCGATGCCGATGGAGTCGATATCCCAGCGCCTGACTATGACGAGGTACGAATAGCGATTATGCTGATGAAAAG